ATTTTAAATTTTTTGTTTCATGTTCATATAATTATATTATATCCAGGCACGTAGCCAGAAAATTTCTACTAGGCGAACCAAAAATGATTGGCCCTTTTATCATTATTTAATTTTGAATTTGAGGGAGGGTGGTTATGGGCCAGTATATATGTAGGGTAGGCCCGGTCTACTTTGCCCTCTCCCTTGGCTATGTGCCTGATTATATCACATAATTATACATTCAATTATTATATTATTACAAAAATAACTAAAGGATGATTAAAAACTATATTTAGGCATACATTGTATAAAATAGACTATAAAAAGTGTTATTTTATTAATTGGATAACCACGAAGTAGGATTTTATAGTATTTATTTATTATTATTATTATTATTATTTATTTATTTATTTCATAATAAAATATAAAACAGATAATCAACTGAATATAAACAGGCATTAGTTCACAAAAGCATGTACATAAAGATAGTATTTACCAATACTCAAGTACAGATATATATAATTTATATGTTTATAATAATACACTGACACATTCTAAGCATAGGCGTGCGCAGAGTTTCAAGTCAGGGGCAGCGAATATTTTTACCGGCCCATACATGGGTATTAAGTTAACATTTTTAAGCTCAAAATCAAAATTTAACTTTTGACCTTTAAATAAAAATATTTTAAACGATAAYCATTGGTTAATCATAGATTGTTTTTGCTCAACACCGGTATACCAAATCAAAATTAAAAATACATCAAATATCAATAACACATTATTCTTTATTATTATGTTATGTTATTATTATATAGTAATAGTTCGGACCATACAAATATATTCAAACCATCCAGGAGCAGCAAGAGCACACCTTGCTGCCCCTGTGCGCACGCCTATGATTCTGAGTGTCTCGAGAAACAGGATACACATTATAACCACTACCCTGTAAACATCTTGCAATTCTGATTAATCACTCACAGTTTTTAGAAGGAAATAATATAAAAAATTAAAAACAAAACAAAAATATAAATATTCAAATTGAATAAGATTTTTAAATTGTACCTATAGCTCTAATTTCATCAATTTTGAGTTTGCGACACAAGTTGATTCATAAAAATGTCTTGAAAAAAAAGACCAATCTAAAAATTATAATTAAAATAGGGGTTGCCTTTTAAAAAAAATGAATTTTTGTTGCCCATGCTCAAATACATGAGTTAAAAAAGTTTTAATTCATAGAAATTCATGATTAATTAGTCTAATTTAATGTCCCGTAAACAGAATTGAAAGATATTTACAGAATAATGAGTNAATATTTTCATAAAATCCAAAACTATAGTCAATTTTAATCGCAATAATGAGCAAATTATTATTTTAAATTTTTTGTTTCATGTTCATATAATTATCAATATATTATATCAATTTTTTTGTAATTTTGGTTTATTATTTAAATGTATATATTTTCAAAATGATACTTATATGAACAATTTGAAAAGATAAATAAGTAATTGTTAATTTAATACCGTAAACCTACCATAAAATCCATAGACTTGTGTGATTTGTCTTGATTCATGATTGCCTCGAAGTAATGTGATGCGATGTGGCCATTTTGCTTTTAGGGTTAAAAGTCTAGTTAAAGATTCCAGGCTGTAGTATCCACGGTCAACAAAATCACCCATAAACACATAATTAGTGTCTGGGACTTGGCCTCCGTTTCTAAACAATTCTTCTAGATCATAAAACTAAAAAAATGAACAGACATCATCAATAATGAGATTTTTAACACACAAAGTATTRCAATATTTACTTGTCCATGGATGTCGCCACAAACTGTTACCGGTGTGCTGACCGGCTGGATGTTAGCTTCTTCAATCAACAAATCGCATACAATCTGACACAATTTCTAAACATACACACACAAAATTAATACCGGCTGAGAAATTGTAGAGGGTGTATCTTACCTTTAAATCGTTTTCTGGCAAATATTTGCACTGTTTGGCGATCTCGAACCAGTTTTCCCACTCGGGCATTTCAAGTTTTAAAAAAAAAAATTCCAATACTACTAGATTTACATTAGTCGTCAATAATACAAACCCGATCAAGGTGCGTAGAACAAATAATTTCCCAAAGGGGGGCCCGTTCCGTTATTCAAAACGTTAAAAAAAATAAAAATAAAAACAATTTTCAATGAATTTTTATCACAATTAATCTTATCTTATTTTTTTTAGCGCGTACAGTGTTGTCCAACATTTCGTAAGAAAACATTTAGTCGAGTACGGAGGATGTGATATAATAATTATAATTATAATAATACATTTATACATTTTATAATAAATCCTACCGCAGACATCACGATGACACTTGTTACAGTAAACCTCAAAAGCGTTCACAAAAGTAAAAAAGAGTAAAGACGTTTAACTGCGTGTCTCAGTGTCTGTGTAAGACCGAGGTGATCTGTATTGGGCTAGGTATTAAATCAGGGTTATTTGTAGGTATTGCATAAAAACGATAGAATAATTTCAAACACATGGGCCATCATTTGTGTGAATTGCGTATTAGATAGATATCAATAGATACTAGATAGTACTAAACTAGTAAACTACTTTTTTTTTTATTATTAAAGGAATAACCCTCGGCAACTTGGCCATTGGGATAAGATACATTTTTTTTGAAAGGTGTTACATACTAATAATAATAGAAAATGTTTAATAACAATAATKAAATGTCTAAATTATATGAGTATAATTTTAATAAGGTTGTGTTTTTTCAAATGATTAAATAAGTAAACTACTATAATGTTAGCCGTTAGGTAAAAAGATAATTTAGCCCACAAATTTCAGTAACGTAATATACCCACAGGTAGTTATAGTGGCCACGAATTAAGATATATAGGTACAACTATAACCCATAAGATCTATATCGCGTGTTAGTGGTTAAAAAGATGCGTACTTTTGCGGTACCAGATTAAAGTCTCCAAACAAAACGTCATTATTACAACTTTTTTTATTTCCATTATTATAATATGTTTAAAATGTTTCAAGCAGTGGCGTAGGTAAAGTGGGGGACTAATAGGCTGAATAGCCCCTCCCCCCAACCGACCATAATATTTACTATCAAACTATCATTATTTGTTTTTCTATTTACCCGTGATTTAATATAGTCGCTTCTATAATATTTAAATCATGTGTCCTTTTCAATAGTCCCTACCAGCATTTAATAATTTTTGATTTACAACAAAATGTTCAAGATTTTTTTGCTTTACTCTGTTTTAGTATTACATCATACCGACACCCATAAATGCAATTTACTGTAGTTGTAAGAGTAAGACTGTACGATCAATAGTGTGTAAAGTAGACTGTAAAACATAATATAATGGTTCAACTATTTCCGGTGGTGATGATATTACAATCAATTTTGCACATTATTTTCCCCATGTTTTAAATATACCAGACTC